AATCAACTCAAAACACCTGCAAAGGTTTCCTGAGCCTTCAAAATGGTCTCTCAGTTTGGTTCACTAGGCTACACAATTAAGGGGTTAGACTGCTGATCTGACAGCTGTCCAGAAGACAATCATTTACACCCTTTACAAGGAGGGTAAGCCACAAACATTCATTGCCAAAATTTAATACACGAGTTTCACAATTTGAGTTGAATTACTGAAATAAATGAACTTTTCCATGACATTCTAATTTATTGAGATGCACCTGTATGTTGCCATTTCTGAGCTAAATGGATCTTTTGATGAAAATCACTTTGAGTTTATTTTTCAAGTGTTCTGTTGACTAGGACAAAATACACAGCGAGACTTTCCCTTTTAATTAAAGAAAACATTTCCACTAAATGAAAGCCTCCAGACATTCCACTGACATGAATGTCAGTTTGATTAAAGACGTTACTTATATTCAACCTGTGTATTTGAAGAAGGTGCTGATGGTATCCGGTATGTCTGGATGTGCAGACACGGTTTATTCTTTTTCCAAAGATTTGTTTTCATCCAGTGATTCGAGCTGACTAATAATGGAGGGTCTTGAGGGCTTTAATGCCAGTTGCTTTATTGCTTTATTGCATTTTTGCAACGAATCTGTGAATTTGAAACTACCAAATATTGCAACTCTGCTTACAAATTAAAGTACTTGGTGAATCTTCTCTAATCATCTAAAATACACTACTGTTCAAAAGTTTGGAGATGGTAAAATTCCCATATGCTCACCAAAATTGAATTTATTTGATCAAAATAACACTTCTCTTATTTTCATATATTTTAAAAAGTAATTTATTCCTGTGATGCAAAGCTGAATTTTCAGCAACCATTACTCCAGTCGTCAGTGTCACATGATCCTTCAGAAATTATTCTAATATGCTGATTTGCTGCTCAAGAAATATTTCTTAATATTATCAATGTTGAAAACAGTTGTGCTATCTTGTGCTACCTGTAAGATAAATCTTTAGTAACTCTTTCAATGTTTTTACAACCACTTTTGATCAATTTATTGCGTACTTGCTGACTAAAAGTATTTTTTTTATTGTTTGAAAAATCTTACTAATCCAAAACTTTTAAATGGCAGTACATGCCTGAAATCAAATTATCAATTTTGTACATTCAAATCAAAAGAAAGAAAAGCAGTATGCAGCCAAGTTAAATGTGTGCAAGATTAGCATTTAAGTACAAACTAAATTAAATATTTTTTATGTTTATTGGTCATGCATTCAGCAAAACAGAAAAAAAAGAATCATAGTGTTAGATTTAAGAAATATCTACACATTTGTTTTCAATACATAGGTAAGTAAGTGCAAAAATAGTTTTGCCTCAATTCAGCTGATTTTACAGACTTGATTCTAATATACTGATATCAGGTATATAAGTCATTCTGTGGTTAGATATATTTATTTAATTACCACTAGACTGCATAATTTATAGTTGTTGCACTTCCTGTGCAAATTTCATGTACTATACTCAGTCTATTTCTTCTCTCATGATGAAATAATTTAAACTCAAATAAATCAATATATTATGTACATTTATACGGTAAGTAGCTGTGCTGGGGTAGTCAATAAACTGATCACCCTATCTTGGCTTATTTTGTGCTATTGAGTGGCTGGCTGTACACTATTTCTAACTTATAACTAGCTCCACATGGAATCAGAACTCTGCAGAAAGTTCTGAACGCCTGTCATTCACAAACTTCTGCCTCCCCTTGGGTGTTTGTTTATATAATATTTTGACTAATTTGATTACGCCTTTAGCTACTGATACAAGTCTGGTACTCTCAGCTCTCCTTTTTCCATTGTAGAATTTCCAATAAAATCAGCACAGAAAATGCAAAAAAAAAAGTCAGTAAGCTGTGTTTGAATTTGCTCATAGCAGCACAACACCTCTTTAGCACGCCAGTGATTTGAGAAGTAAAGCTACCTTAAGTTTTAATGGTGGCGAGAGTTATTTGGTTCTTCTTTGTAGTTTGATCCAAATGCCCTTCTCGGGACGCAGAATGAGTTCCCCCAGAGGCCGCAGCTCCTCACGGCTCTGACACGCCTCTACGTCAAAGTGACGCAAGATCGTAGCAAGAACTACCTTCTCCTCCATCATGGCGAAGCGCTGGCCTGGAGCCACAGACGCACAGACAAAGAGAAAATGGGAAAGAGAGAATAAGGTCTCAGAATGGCAACAAGACTAAGAGAGGGGGGAAGTTCATGAAGTACATTTCTACAAATGCTCTTATTTGGAGCTTTCGGTCCTGGAAGGCAGTTGGAGATGAGTCGAGTGCTGAAATAATAAATCTCCAAAGGTATGTGGCTCTCGTTCAGTTTCGTTAGAAGCTTCTTCTTTTGTGTGGCCAGCGACCTGAACCTGCGAGCACCACTCGCTGTGAAACAATCTGTTTTATTCAGAGGTGGGAGAGAGGCCCAAAGGGAGGATAAGTACACTACATCTATCTTTTAACTATCCATGCTAAATACGCAGATTGACTCTTGGGTAAAGTATAATAGGAAGAGAAACTCCACTTTAAACGTTCTCGAGAACGTTCTCGTTTTTTAAAAGTTTAACTTCTTTTAACTTGAGCAAGGAATTTTTGGAATGTGAGCTCAACGTTCAAACACATCCATCTAGTGTGTTTATATAGAAAAACAATGTAGAACAGTAGAATGGAAAAACGCATTCTGTGTGTCCAATCCTGCTCCTGAAGCACCAACATCCTGCAGATTTTAGCTACAACCAGCTCAAAAACACTTGCCTAGAAGTTTCTAGTAAGTCTGAAAACACTGATACAGAGTGATACACTGATGAGAAACAGACTTGTACAACCCTGACAAGTTCTGAGGATGTTATATGACTAGGGTTGGGAACCAAGAACTTGTTTCATAAAAAAAATATATATATATATTGGAACTGAATGACACTACTGATTCTACATTGGGAAACAAGCTCAACATGTGTAGTCTGTTTACAGAGCAAATTACTCTAATGAGCGGTTTCATTTTAGTGAATCAAACACATTGCATGAAAAGTGTAGTCCAATTCCCAAACAAATGTCTTTAGTGAGTCAGTTATTTTTAGTTAATCAAACACATACTGTAGCGCACAAGAAGTATAGTCTGATTCCCAAGCAAACATCTCAAGTGAGACAGTTCTTTTTAGTAAATCAAACATATCATGCTCAATCAGTGCAGTCTAATTCCCAATAATGTCTCAATTGAGTCAGTTCTTTTCAGTGAATCAAACACACAGCGCAAAACAAGTATAGCCTGATTCCTAAGCAAATATCTCTAGTGAGTCAGCTCTTTTTAGTAAATCTAACATATAGTGGACAGCCCAATAATGGCTGCAATCCATATAGCAATAGCAATTCCCAATAATGTCTCAATTGATTCAGTTCTTTTTAATGAATCAAACACATATCACACAGTTAGTATGATTCCCAAACAAATGTCTCTATATCTAGTGAGTTGGTTCTTTTTAGTGAATCACATACTTAAATGCAACCACTGTATATTGTAGTGAGTACTGTAGTGTGATTCCTTAACAAATTACTCTTATGACTCATTTTTTTTATTAATTAAAAAACATAAAACTTTCAACTAACTGTGAGACTTAAATCAGCATAATCTTTCAATTCTTTACGATTCCCTTCCCTATACATATGGCCCATCTAATACAATGTGTTATTGTACGGTTATGGTACAGTTTTAAACCTTTTTATCTTATGTACCCATCAAAAAGGCTCATGTAACCCCTCATCAACACCAAAACAGAAATGTGTTAATTTTTACAATAATTGATATTATTCTGGATAGAATTCAGCATATTAATTTCTATTATAAGTCAATTTTACACCAAAATCATTATCATTCTGTTCTTTTTCTTACCGATGCAGTTTCTTGGCCCTGCAGAGAAAGGGATGTACGCATATGGATGCCTCCCTTTGCTGTTCTCTGGCAGAAACCTTTCCGGTCGAAATTCCTCAGGTTCTGGAAAGTAGCGTGGGTCCCGGTGAAGAGCATATGGTATGATAACAGCATTCACTCCTTTTGGGACCTTGAAGCCATCTGCAACCGAGCAACACAACAACAGCAGTCTTTCAATTATGTTAAACATGTCACATTTTTTAACAATTGATCAGGACACTGCACCACTACATTTGGCTTAGCACACACCAAAATATACAGCTGTGTAGGAGACAGAATAAAGCTTTAAAGGGGTTGTTCAATGTTTTTTTTCTAGGCTTGATTGTGTTTATGGAGTGCAGTCTAACATGTGTTAATGCTTCGTTATTTAAAAAAGGCATTATTTTTCACATAATTTACCTTTATTCCACACCGCTCTGTCCCTTCTCTGAGAAACGGGCTGATCATTTCCTTCTTTTATGAAGCCCCTCCCTCAGAAATAGGCGATGGGCTCTGATTGGTTAGCTAGCCCAGTGTGTTGTGATTGGCTAAACTGCCTCTAGTGCACGTCTAAATGTCCCAATCCTCACCTCGGCGGCATGTGCTCCGGTTGTATTGTAAACAACGGCGTCGTTAATATCGCTTATCAGTTTGAGCCCGATTGAGAAGCAGAGGATATTATTGAAGAGGATCGTGCAGAACCTGTGCAAGCACGGCTTTTAATGGTAGGCCTATGTTTTTTGTTTTTTGTTGTCTCATACTTTTAGATACGCTGTTATTTGTAAATGCTACTGCTTATGTTAGCTTTTAATATACGGTTTTATCCTGATTAAAGCTTTAATACAGTACGGCAACTGCACGCGCGTCCATGTTTAAACGCTTCTCATAGCTATGTGAAAATAAGTGTATAATTGGAACAGTTCATTGTTGGATCTGAGCTGAATGAGAGAGAGAGAGAGAGAGAGATGCAGAGTGTGTGCAGAGCAGGGGGACGCGAGGAACAGTATTGAGAACCGCTGCTTTAGAACATTGATTTTAAAACTTGTAAATCCATTAGAATCGAATCGTTAGAAGACAGAATCGCGATTCATATTTGAATAGATTTTTACGTGCACCTCTAGTTTTCTCTTCCTCTTCTCTAAAGCAGCGCAGCATGGCCTCACCCCCTTCATTACATGTTCCCGGGGGTGGGGTTTATCTGGGTTTGTGATGTCACGAACCCGGGAAGTAACTCGTTGTAGTCCCTACCAGCTGTTTTTGTAGGCATTAAACTGCCAGAATTTTAAAAGACGATATCTCTGTTTGCATTGAACTTTCAGCTTCGTAACTTTGCAGATATTGTTTATGTTCAAACAGCAACATTAGACACTAACTAATGTTAAAAAAGTGAAATTGCAATGAACCACCCCTTTAATAAATAATTAATAAACATACATTTATTGTGTTTTGCAACACTTTCCATCCTAAAAAGTTGCTGTTTTCCATCCAGCTGCTTTGGCGTGAAAGAATCTTAGTTCTGAGTAGAAATGAACACTCCGGTTGCTTCATATTTGACAATGGGAGATGGAAATAGAAGCCGTGACTAGGCCTGTCGCAATAATCAATATATCGACTTATCGCGCAATATATATACATAACCTCAATAATTTTTGGTGACGCAATATATCGCCCATTATATTTACTTCAAAATTAATGTCACCATGTTTTGTACATTCCACTTGCGCCTGTGTCTTTTGCAGCTTCTCGTACATAACGTGGTGTAGTCATGAGGTGCTAGTTCAAATTTAAAAAGTGCTTCTACAAAAAAAAGTTTCATCTGCAGATATGGCCTTGTTTAGGGATCTGTGCCTTTGTGCATACGGACATCTGACTACTAAGTAGTGATTGTGTTTCTCAGCAATAGTGTGCACACTTAATTTACAGAGAAAAGAAGGTCAGGAAAAAATCTGCAGATGGAAAAATCTCCAAACAAGTTCTTTGTGCATTTTTCTTTTTTTGTACTTGTTACTTTGCACTTTTTGTTAGAAAATGTTTATTTACTATTTATTCAGGTTTTTTAAGGTATCTAATATTTTGATACTTAATTTCCATGATCTAAATATTCTTAAAAATTAAAAGTTTGTTGTCATTTAGAAGTGGCCTTCTTGCATTATTAAGAGTAGGCCTTCTTGCATTATTATGCTGTTACATTATGATTATATATTCCGTGGCATAAAATGGTCTTTAAAATGACAATAATATCGCTTATCGCAATTATTTCTGGGGCAATATATCGCACAACAAAAAGTTGTTATCGTGACAGGTCTAGCCGTGACATCTGCTGTTATGCTGAGGTGCAAATAATGAGAGTGGCATCAAAAAGTGCAGATCTTTGATCTGGCAGTGTTTGGCAAGGTGACAAACTGCTGCCACCTACTGATCCGACAGCTCTCGCAGATGCTGCGTGCAAACAGAGGCACGGAGGGGAAGATCCGCAGACTCTCCTTGATGACACACTCCAGGCAGCGCAGCTTTTTCAGGTCCTCCACCCCCACGTGGCGGTCTGACGAACCTGCCAATCAGAACACAGGAGATGCAGCTAAACTCTACAGTAAATAAGGTTGTTAGAAAACATTCACAAGCATCTAGATGCTTTCTCGACTACTCAGCGGAACTAAACAGAACAAATTGTTTTATGAAGAACACATGGTAGGCATTACGCTCAATAACACACGTGAGAAAGACCTTTTTACCGAACACTTCCTGTAGTTCTGCCTGCACTGCCTTCTGGACCTCAGGATGGGAGCCAATCAGATGTAAAGCCCAGTTCATTGAAGCTGCTGTGGTATCATGACCCTGTCAAAGATAACGGTTTTTCAAACAATGTTCTGTCTTCACAGAGTTTCCTTTTGTAGTTTTATTTGTACCTCAAACATGAAGGTGTCCACTTCCTCCTGAATGTCCTCATGACTCAAATTCTGTCCATCCTCATAAGTACTTTTTAACAGCATATCTAGGAAGGCCTGTCTTTTCCTAGGCCCCTGGTCAGAATCACTGTCAGGTTCAGAGCTAGTGAACTTTGCTCTTTCCTTGATGACCTTCAAGAAAACACAAAAAAATCTGTAATAATAATCTGACACTCATCTGTCTTTTTTGGCTATAGTGTGTGCCATACAGAACAGAAATAAATCACTTAATTTTCCTGAAGCAACCTTATCTTGACACTACATTGTGTTATTGTTAAATAATAATTTCCTTAAATTTAAATAAAGCTGAAATAAACCTGGCAAGTAAAATAATTCTAAGTAAATAAGTAAAACTAAACTGAAATAAAAGATAAAGCTAAATAGCTTATAGCTAAATAGTTATTTAAATATAAATATTTAAAACTAATAAAAAAGACAAAAGCACATAATGCAATTATAAAACTGAAAATGTAAAAATAAAAACTAATTCAAAATATTAATTAGTTATACAATAGTGAAGGGTTGATTCAGGATAATTGGGATATTTCATCTCAATGGCAAAAAGTGTCCCAATTTACCTAAATTCACCCTATAAATAATGATGATGATCACTCACACTTGCAGTGAAGGAATGGAGAATCGTCAGTCTTCTGGAATGTTCTTTGCCTTCCTCTAACTTATTGTAGATCCAGTCTGGCCACAGCCATGGTGCCCTCTGTCTCTTGGTGATGATGTCACTCATCCTGCAAGAGGAATATAAACACTGTCAGTTCTTAGAGAGAACAACATGGCTTTCCTATGTATTCCCTATGCTCTACCATTGAATTACACTACTTACTTATAGACACTTTGGACATACTCAGAGTCAGAATTGCTCTGAGCATAGATCTTCTTTCCCATTGCAGTTTCTGTTGTAGACAAACACATCACATGTGTTATTAATAGTTATTAACTAAACAATAAGCGTAAGGCCTATTACATTAGCATGCATAAGCAGTATGCAAACAGCAAAACCTCAAATTGTGCTTTCCCACTTTATATTGAAAGATTGAATACATTACCGCATATGATATCCAAAGCACATAATGTTATGTAGCTGAAGCAGTTGAATGGCTCTCCGTCCATGTGCTTCTGCATCTTTTGTATCAAAATATCGGTTTGTTCGTTCATCACCTCTAGGAAGTCAGAGAGGATGGAGAAGTGGAAGGTTGGAGTCAGCATTTTCCGCCGGTTACGCCACTTCTCCCCTGTGCTGTGGGAAGAAAAGTTGGGAAGAGTCAAGTCTGTGACCTCAACATAGCTTTAATACTGTAAAGTGAACATGGAGATCATTTTATATTCAATTTCGGTGTTTCTGGACTCTGCTGCGTTTGGACAGATGGCCAGTGACCCTGTGTGCAGTGTGGCTGATTATAAACTACTGTGCTTTTGATAGACTTTGTTTGTAAACAATAAGCGTAAGGCCTATTACATTAGCATGCATAAGCAGTATGCAAACAGCAAAACCTCAAATTGTGCTTTCCCACTTTATATTGAAAGATTGAATACATTACCGCATATGATATCCAAAGCACATAATGTTATGTAGCTGAAGCAGTTGAATGGCTCTCCGTCCATGTGCTTCTGCATCTTTTGTATCAAAATATCGGTTTGTTCGTTCATCACCTCTAGGAAGTCAGAGAGGATGGAGAAGTGGAAGGTTGGAGTCAGCATTTTCCGCCGGTTACGCCACTTCTCCCCTGTGCTGTGGGAAGAAAAGTTGGGAAGAGTCAAGTCTGTGACCTCAACATAGCTTTAATACTGTAAAGTGAACATGGAGATCATTTTATATTCAATTTCGGTGTTTCTGGACTCTGCTGCGTTTGGACAGATGGCCAGTGACCCTGTGTGCAGTGTGGCTGATTATAAACTACTGTGCTTTTGATAGACTTTGTTTGCAGTGCTTGATGCAAGCTGCTTTTGAATATGAGATATGAGATCTGCCAGTTTGGCAGGTGGTCCTCTACCGTATGTGAAACAAAGTTTAGTTTGACTTTAAATGTTTTGAGCTTTGAAGGACATGATTGCAGCTTTTTAGATAAGAGATTTTAGATATAAGACAGCAGTACTCTTAATACTCTTAAAACATTAATGCTGCTCAAACATTTAAAGATATAACCATAATAACCACAATTACATATGAATGTATTTAACAAGTGTTTATTTTTTTCACGAAATGTGAATATTTAAACTGCATTTGAGATATTTGTATTTTAAATGTAAAATTTAGATTTTTTTTAATTAATATTTTTTTGTGGTTTTCTGAAGCTCATTGGTGCTGATATGCAAGATGCAAATTCACATGCATGAACTGATAAAAATTTACACCTTCAGTGCAGTGTTCATTTCTGCTAAATACTGTACATAAATGTAAATACCCTCAGAAAGTACTGAAATAACAAAATTATTATTTTTTTTTTCATTTTGGGTCTATGCACCTGCCTTTAACCATTAATTTTTTAAAACACTCCCCTAAAAAACACCCTAGGCTGATCAAACAGATGGAGTTATGATACATAACTGGGACGCATGCAGGTTATCTGTGGGTAAAGGGCCTCTCGCTAAAACATTAACAGACAGCAGTGGTAATGCAGCAATAGATAATGATCTGGCATATTACTGGTGGCTTTTTGTATGTGTGTTATGGTTTACTGGGACAAATTCTCCCATGGAAGAGCTCTGCCAAGTCTTTTGTTAAAGACAGAAAAGCACCTCTGATGATCACTGTGATATATCACTGAACCTTTGCCAAATTATACAACCATTTTATTGCTAATGACTCCAGCAAGCAGATAAACATCTTAATAAAATTTTGCTGAACCAAACAGTTTGGTAGAATTGATATCACTGAAAAATAAAAATAATTAGGCTATGAATTGTCTTTTAATCAACCTGTTGGCCGCAGACATCTGTTTAAGCAGTATAAACAAATAAATATTATACTTTACATGAAATATGCATTAACTTACAATAACAAAAGAAGACTGGCATTCATTCTTCATCATTTTAAAAAAAGGTAAAAAACAGGGAGGTCTGTTTGCTCCAGATGTTGAGGTCAATGTGAAAAACTGTCAAGTCCATAAACTGAAGGCACTGCATGTGACTGGACATCAGCAAATCACAATCAACTGAAATTATGACAGTGCATATCAGTCTATTGTATTCATAATCATATGGCTCATTAAGCTCTTTTGTTTAATTACAAAATTAACTCCGATGCTATGGCATGACAGGTTGAAATTTCTTCCTCACATGCACTGGAAACCGGCTCAGCTGTTTCCGGTGATTCTGGCCACCTGAAAGCAGATGGTATTGATGAGCAGACTCAGACTTGATGAAATATTTTCATTGTGTGAATCTCTTCTTTACCAGGGCCGTGCCTTATTGAACGTGTTAATTAATCTCCAGTGTCCCAAAAGCTAAATAAATAAAATAATTCTCACAAAGAACTCATATATTCCTTTTAATTAAAGCCCCTTTGTCATTGCTTGTTTTTCTGGATCATTCATTTGTTTATTCTACGCAGTCTATGGAGTATACTCTGCAAAGTTAAATGGTTCAGGCTTTAAAGTTGCATATTAAGTAAACATAAACAAAAGGCAATAGATTTAAACTATGTGACACTAACTAATAAACTGTTGTTTCTGTATTAAATTAAAAATAATAAGCAGTAGTGCATTGACCTATAGATCCGATCAGGGGCATGTTCCCTCCATCCCCGTCAGCGCAGGGTAGACGCCTCCTGCTGGGTGTGACACACTCCAAAAACCCACTAGCTGTAGAGCTGGTGATGCCCATACTGAAGCCTGTCACTCCCATCGGTGTGCTCTCACCTAAGAGACATACAGAAAAAGCTTACAATACATCTTATTTTTCTTCTATGACTTATTTTTAGGAAGTAAAACTGTAGAAGGCAAATTCATGGTACTGTATGTCTGTGTTGTTCCTCCTGCCACTGGCCAGATCAGGCACCTACTTAGTAAAAGTAACCCACCTTTGACAAGTCCTCGACTTGTCCTCATGTTACAGGCAAAATCCATGGGTGTGAAGGACCTTTTCATTGGGGTGTCAGACTGCAGAACAAAAGCATGGCATGAGTTACATCTAACAATAGACTCCTCTGTATTTACCTCCTATTTCACGCACTGTTACCACAGCAGGAAAGTATCTATATCACTTCCTTGTTAGGGGTGGTGTCATGTTTCTACAAAGTTGTATAGAAATGCAGTTTTGGTATTTGGATTTGTTCTACATTAAACTGCTGGTTACCTATAGCTATAACTGCATAACATCTGATATCACAATGACTCCTGACTGTACATGTACGTCGTCAAGACTTCTGTTTAATGTATGTGTTGTCATCTGCAATGTATGCTGTTTTCATCTACACTACTGTACTGTAATCATAATTGCAGGGTAGATTTACTCTGAATGTGTGAGTAGTATTGGGCTGAGACAGAGACTCCAGCATCAGGGTGGGCTCTCTCAGAGGTGGGAGGTTGTTTACTGCATGCATGACACTGGTAGCGCTGCCTCTTAGGATCCTTCCTCTGAGCTAAGAAATACAGAGAAAGATTACAGCTTTGATTGTGAAACCAAACTAAATCAGTGCAGACTGAATAGCCAACCATCTTTACTTGCACAGAACTGTTTAAAAAATATTCCTTCCAATTCAAATTTAGGTATTATTTTTAAATACTCTGAATTTTCTGTAAAAGGGAAAAGGGCAACCATGTTTACTGTTTTCAGTGTCAAGTCAACCAGACCATGGAGTCAGTATGCCCCTTTCAGCCATTTAGAAAACTGCTGCTATCTCTGTTTACAGAGATCAGAGTCCACACGGCTAGCTTTTCTTTCGTGGGATGCCGAAACATCTTTCTGCTTGTGGATTTACACTTAAGTTCTGTCCAAAACCAAAGGCAGCTGCTCTGCTGAAAGGTTTCAGACAGTTTTCACCATAATTTCAAATAAATTCAAATCTAATTCAAATGAGATAGCTTTGCAAATATTTTATATAAGCAAATATTTAATCACTACAATACTTGCTTCCTTGTTAACAGCTGGAAATTAATAAATGAACATCTATGATTTAATACAACCACTCCATCTGTCTGTATTTTAATTTTTTTCATTAACCACAAGTACATAATTGTGGGATATCATTAACCACGAAGGACATATATTCTGTCTTTAAAACCCAACTACATGAAGTCATCTTTGCAGACAGGATGTTTCATAAACATTTGATGTCTAATTGACTTCATGGATTGCCTGTGAAGGCAATTTTTTTTTCAGGTTTTGAAAAAGTCATAGGATGGTTGGTCTATTCTAATGTGTTTGGTTTCACTAGAGGTGTGAAAGACAAGGTTGACATAGACTTTACCACGTATAGCTAGTATAAGGCAGTTTCAAATGTTAAATCCATCAGATTATGTTTGTGAAATATGTGTTTCATGTATATACACTACCATTAAAAAATGTGGGGTCGAAAATATTTGTAACATTTTTTTCAAGTCTTTTGCGCACCAAGCCTATGTGATCAAAAACACATATGTAAAACACAGTAAAAATATTAATGTTGTGAAATATGAGAATTTAAAATAACATTTTTCTATTTTCTATTGTCCTGTGATGGTAAAGCTGAATTTTAAGCATCATTATTCTTCAGTCTTTAGTGTCACATCCTTCAGAAATCACTCTAATATGCTGATTCACTGCTCAAGAACATTTCTTATTATTATTATCAATTCTTAATACAGTTGTGCTGCTTAATATTCTGTGGAAACCATGATACATTATTTCAGGATTCTTTGATAAACAAAGTTCAAAATAATTTTTTAAACAGTGTAAAAGTCTTACATTTTTATAGAAATTCATTGCATCCTTGCAGAATAAAAATATTAATTTCTTTCAAAAAGAAAAAAAAATCTTACCGACCCTAGACTTTTGAATGGTAATGTACTGCAAGTATGTGTGAAAAAAATAAATCAAGGTGGCGAGGGAGTAGCATGAATCTCTTCAGATAGGCAGATCAATAGTCTGCAGGCCACAGTAACACTGGTGTGGCTTGTTACCTGCACAAGCCTGGAAATAGGTGCATAGTATTCTTGCTCTTGAGACTCAGAGTGTATCTGAGGAAGCCTGTGGCTCTGAACCGCACTCACCGGTGGAGAGGGCAGGCTTTCATTCACAGTGGATCTGTGCGAAACAAACCCAAGAACACATACTTACTATAATTAGCATTCTGCATGTTTACCCATGCCTGATATCCCTGCAGGAGCTCAGCGCTACTTCTGTGATTTTTCCAAGTGATGACAAGGTTAAAAGTGTTACAATTAATAAGGTGCAATGCAGCTTGAGGGACCAATTTAACAAGCGCTTTTAAAAGAAGTCTGCATTTCAAAAGAAGGCCTCGGCCTGTTATAACGGGACCCCAGTAGACCCTGCATTGAATAATCTGCAGCCACATATTCTGAAAGAATTGCATCATGCATAAAGGAGTTGCTGCAACAGAACCTCTTCATGTAAAACTTGTGAGGATATAAAATGGTGCACGCAGAGGTATAGTTCACCCAAAAAACATTCTCAGAGGAGCACATAAGAAGAAATTACGCTTCACACGTTACAATGAATTGGGACTGGAGCTTTCAAGCTTCAAAAAGAATGCTACAAAAGTATCTTAAAAGTATCATAAAAGCGGCCCATATGTTTTGTGTATTACATTCTAGAGCCATATGATAAACAGTTCAAAATCGTTAATTATACACAATCTCCCCTCCAGGGACCTGTTAACCACCGATCAGTCAGTCAGTGAGTTGAACTTAAGAAGTGAATCGGTATGATTT